TGTCACATTCGGACAGTCCACTGTTGCTCAGCTCTGTTCCAAAAATCTGCAGAACAAGCTATAGTCGATTTTTAAGTTGATAGTCGACTATTCATCGTCTTCTACATCGAGTCAACTTGCGGAAATGTCATTTTTACTCTCCAAACTCCAATTAAAGTATATAAAAATGTTTTCCAAGGTTCATAGATCATTTTGGCATCATTAATTCATAGTTTTAACATCAAAATCATGGTTTGTGATTCTTAGTTCTTCAAGCATGTCAAACACAAAACTCAACCAAATGACGATTTATGAACGTAGAAACGACCTATATGAACATTCTAGTCATTAGATATATCTACGGGCTTACTTCGAAGTTAAACGATGATTCCAGCGATTTAACGGCGAAACTTTTGGCGAACACCACGGCTTGCTTCGGCGACTTCTCACCAAATTGACAGCATCATTGAAATCTCCACACTCAGAGGAACATATAAGGAAGAAGAATTTCATGAATTGGTAGAGAAATGAAGGAGAAGAGGGATGCTTTATATAGTGAAGAAACTAGAGAAGATGACAATGTGGGTTGCTGTTTGTGATCCTTCGTTCGGCGTAGTGGGATTGGCTGCGATATGTTCTGATTTCATATGCCACTCCCTGATTGGGACCAATTTTGGTTCCAATCGGGATATACTTTTTGGTCCAACTTTCTCCGAATTGAAATCCGTTTGCACCGTTGCGATCAGACAGTTAAGCTTTATCCAATGACATAATTTTCATGATTATTTGTAATACTTTTTTCGACATCATATTTTTGGGTGTTTGACTTTGACAGAGTCAAAATTTATTTAGTTGACCTTTATTCAAAAAGGTTCTCTCATTTCATTCATGTTATTTACTCTCATGATTTATTTGAATAAATAATTTCAGAGTTCACATCACAAGTCAATTTTTTAATTTATTCTTGATCTGGGTATGTACTCAGGTTCCCAATCAAAATCACATAATAAGTCAACATATGGAATTTATCTCTTTGAGATTTATCCAGATTGTGATATTGGACTTTAGAACATATTTCATATCGAGCCCAAAGCCCAATAATAATTTATTTTAATCAAAACAAATTTGTTTAATTGAATATTTAATTCAATAAATTTTAGAGTATATTTTGGGGCATTACATTTCTCCCCCCTTAAAGGAATTTCGTCCTCGAAATTCTCCTAAGGTCCAACGTTCAACATTTCATAATGATCTCACTTAATCATGACCGTGTCATGCTCAATTGGTTAAACCATAATTACGTCATTATCCACACGGATACGTACTCCCAATGTTATCAAACTATTTCTTTCTTTAAGAGGTTATCAATCATTGATTGAGTAAGGCATTCAGTGATCTTTCAGTATCAACAACTAAAGTTCCCGTGTATAGGGTTGTAAATTTGACATACTAGACATAATACAATTCCCAATTGCACAACGTCGATTATCGGTATTCCTCCTTTGATTGAAATTCTTTCGGTAGCATTTGCAGTTTCAAGTCATCCCATTCACGATAGATATAGTTGGGAATTTAGAGTTCGTTTTCAACCCATACATCGTAGCGTAATCTTTCAAGTCACTCAAGACATCTTCACAATGTTTACATAGTTCAGCAATGACTCGTAAGTAACATCAAATGGCTTTCCTTGATTCAGGATAGGGAATTTGTCATCATTTATGAGTAAGTACTTGTCAACCGGTTGTAGAGTAGCTCGTTATCATCGATTTACATCGAAACATTTCTTCATTCACTTCACGGTAGCTCACATTTATCGTTTAATGCGTCTTCGTATTCATAGGTGATGACGTTCGAGTAGCGTCTCATGTACGACTTGTCGTATTCAAACTTCTTCTATTAGTTTTAAAACATAACTAGATATGATAGCGACAAATTCGATTGTAGCACTATGGCTGATCTCATTTTCGAGGGAAAAAGAGAATATCTTCGGTATGTGATTCAATTCACGAATTCAAAGAGTAAGGAATCGTACGAGTTCTTACACCAACATCGCCTGTAAATTCGGGATTTTTGCTTGAATGATTCAGCTTGATCATTCTGACGTCATTTTTTTATGGTTATTACTCATACACTCCTTTGTTAGAGTCATAACTGGGTTTGTTTGGTCAATAAGATTATTAATAATAATCTTCAAAGATAACGTAATCGCATCAATCGAGAGGTTCAACATAATACTTCAGTCAAAGTCACGTAATTCACAAAGTATAGTTTTCGAAGATTGGTATAATAAAGAATCTTTGGTTTGATGAAGAATCATGGTTTTAGTATTTTGATACAAAGAATAGAATTCAATCTTTTCAAATATTGTTCAAGTGAAATGTTTCAAGGGTGTGGTTAACAAAGCAAGTTTGAGTAATTCAGGGATATGAGTCACAAGATACAAAGATAGTATTTGCGAATAATCATGCTAATCGTAGGTTTTCTTTCTTCAATGTTTCATTCTTTGGAAGTTACTCAAGGAGTCACTGTCTTTGGAAATAGCCGCTTTGACTTTTCGTCTCGGATTTGATCGTATTTCAGGACATCGAATCTAACTATTCATTAGTCTCAACATATCACATTGTCAGCAGACTATAGTATTGATGACTACACTTCTGTCTGTAGATAATTGAAGCGAATCCACTTTTCTGCACGCATCAGAGACTATATATATCACGATTATGAAAAGAGTATCTCACATTCTCACATTATGGAAGTAACTTCTCGAACACTTCCTTACACCATAAGATTCGTTGGTCTACTTGGCAGTCATTCTCTTGGTAGAAATCCAAAGTTTATGGCTACTGCGGTAGATTTAGGAAGAGAATTGATAAGGCGAAAGATTAAACATGCCTATGGAGGAGGTAGTGTTGGCCTTCAAGGAGCTGTTGCTTCAACAGTCTTTACTAATGGTGGTCTCGTTAGAGGTTTCATTCCTGGGTACATAGCAACACGACGAGTCTATGGACCTACGTACGGTGTAGAGCACACAGTTTCCAGCAATTACTACAAATATTTTGAGATGAATCATGCCGTGAAAGCTTTCATCATTCTTCCCGGAGGAGTTGACACTATGGAAGGTTTGTTCACCTTGATCTCGTGGGCTTCTGAAGGGTTACACAATAGACCCATTAGTCTTTTAAACATTGACGGTTATTTCAATAACCTTCTCAAATTCTTAGACGATGCAGTGAGGCAGAACTTCATGGCTTCCAGTCAGAGGAATCTTTTTATTTCTTCTTTCTTTGTTGACAAGCTTTTAGAAAAACTAGAGTTTGCTAAAGCTTTCCCGGGTCCTGGGGCTAGTTATGACGAGTTTGCAAATCCTGGGAGATTAGATTTAGAATTGCATTTGTAACATTCCTCATACGATCTAAGTTTTTTTTGTTGAAATGATATTATCCATAAATATTATTCTAGGCTGTATGGCCAGTGCGAGCTACATTTTCTTCATTCTTCAGTCTTTCGCTGTTGGTGTCACTGTTTCACGTCTTGATTTGTATCATCAGTACGTCGCAAGATTTCACGTCAATAATGCATACAGACGAGTCAATTCTCTTAACTATTCGTCTGGTCAGCATCACTTCATTTCACTAATGTTTTTGACGATAAGCAATTACGTCATTAGTTTCTTCATAACAAGGCGTTAATTCGATCAACAAGGTTGAGCTGTCAAGCAGGTTCTTTGAATTTGGCCGAACAAGTCGTCAGTACGTAGTAAATGGTAGTGATTCTTGATTGTCTGTTTGTCCATATTTCTTAACAAGGAGGTGATAGTATCTTGACCGTAAGTCAATCTTAGAGAACACAACGGATACTCTAAGCTGATCAAATAAGTCATCGATACGAGGTAAAGGATAACGAATTGGTCAGCTCACAATAGTTGGTACAGAGTCTCATCGATCCTTCTTTATTCGCGTATGAACAGAACAGGTATTCTCCCAAGGAGGAAACACTTGGTCAGATGATTCTTTGTCAGGAAGTCATTGATGAAAACATGTTCAATACAGAGTTACGAATATTGGTCCTTTCTAGGATCAAGATTGATAGAGAATTCAATTTCTCGGAATGGTGAAGTATTAGGAAGTTCATATCAGAGAGGTGACATACTCTTGGTATGTTACTTCTGTTCAGATGTTTCTTTTCACGTATCGCACGAATAGATTTCACACTTGAGATGTTTTCGCATATATATTTGAGATCAATTCGGTCGGTTTAGAAATCAGCTTTGCTTTACCTCTATAAGGTTTCCATCATTGGTCTTCAGTTGAGAAATTCTTCATCACAGGTTGTCAACAGCAATGATGTTCAATTCAGTCAATTCATACTAAGGAAAATGTCATTTTCCTTGTATGGTATTTCAACGATGTTTTACAAAGAATTGTCGCTTAACAAACGATTTCGATTTACATTAAGTAATCGCATAATGTGTCCTAATGAGTCAAACAATAGTATCGGATACTTTAGATAACAGAGTTTATTGATTCTAAACGTTCGTATTTGAATCAGCGATTAGATCGTCTTGAGTCCACATGAGGATCTTTGACATCGGCTTCACAAATGTTTCTCAACATTTATCGTTTCTTTATAGTCATCTCACTTTTGTACAATATTTTGATGCAGATCAGTTTCGTTACTCGTGATGCGATGCATACGTTGATACCATATTAGAGGTCGTATATTTTTTCTTTCTTTCGTCTCTTCACCGAGTACGAAAATTCAACTTGAGTCTATGCTCGATATGATTTCAGTACTAACAAATGTTATCTAATGAGAATTCAATATAGTCAAAATTTACTAAATAAATTCTCATACCTTTCCTGGAGAAGAGGGATGCGAGAGTCGTGGATGTGATTGACATTTTATTTCTTTTTAAATCAAATTTCGATCCGAAGATCGGTTTTAAAACCATTTGCTCCGATACCAAAATGTAACACCCTAATCCGTCCAGGTCTGCAGCCCCTTTCGGACTAAAGTATTAACTTGGTAATCGTAAAATTTAAAATTTTTCAAACTCTTTTATTTATCACGATAATATTTTTCGTAACATATACAGTGCGGAGTTTTCAATATTGCAGAAACTTAACGAATCATAATTACAAACATAATTTATTTATGTTCTTTAATTCAAAACCATCACATCCATGCCGACAATCTCGCCTCCGTCTGCCTCCAGAATCACGTCACATCATTCTTTCTATTAACCTGCGTGTAGCAAATAAAACATACTACACGCTCAGCGGTGAAGCTGAGTAAGCATATCTAAAGCGTCGAACATCCACATAAATTGAATCTCATTTCACAAACAAACATTTGATATCATGCACACAATATATAAATCACTCATGATATTCAATAATCAACATTCATATTCAATATTCAATATTCAACAATATCCTTAAACTATGCTTAGTCTAAGGCCAATCTTTTGATGTTTTACCAACTCTTAAACTAATTCTAGTTCAAGGTACTTCTATCCAACTCTTAAACTAATTCTAGTTTAATGTACTTTTATCCAACTCTTAAACTTATTATAGTTTAAGGTACTTCTAACCAACTCTTAAGCTAGGTCCTTAGTTTAAGGTACATATTTCCGATTGATTTACCAACTCTTAAACTAGCCTTCGCTTAAGGTACAAATCCAGAAAACCGAACAGTAGAATACTATTTGTCGGGTCGGGTGGTATCCCCAAACGAGTTCCTCTTGTTTGGTTTATGGATCCCGTACGTACGTTTTTACCCAAGGCCACCGAATATACATAATTATACCCGCAAGGCCCATTCTAATCAGAGGTCTATCTCAGAGGTCTTCTAAGTAACCTTAACAATACGATTCATTATTTCGTTATTCTCAATTTAATAATTCATGGTCGTCATTCAGAATATTCATCATCATTAATTCATCACAATCCATAATCAAACAATCATCATAATATTTAATAACAAATAGCGGCCTAGCATCGAGTGTTAACACCCAACCTTACCGTCATGCATCACATAATGTTTTATATGTCAAAACATCATTTTTATTGTACAAAATCATATTTATATTATCATAATTGATTGGTATCAAAAATAGGATTCCATAGTTCAAAAATCATGTTTTCTAAACAATAATTGATTAATATATGATAGGAAATTCAATTATTAACTATTAGCTTTATTTTCTTCAATAGTGTAGGGAAACAGTCTACTGTCACTTCTGATAATCTACTGTCTGATGTTCAGAATGGGATGATAATCGATTATCAAACTTCAGAGAGGGCTGACAGTCGATTGTCACATTCGGACAGTCCACTGTTGCTCA